AAACTGCACCAACCAGATTTGTTGAATTTCAATAGCGTTTTTGAATTGAATGCGATATTGTTTACTTTTTAATTATAAAATGGAAATATTTTCAGAGGCAGAATTAAAGAAATCATATTATATTAAATTAAAGTAGATCAAACAAAAACAACTACGTTAAAATACTTAGCATATCATCATCATCATTTACAGCTTATTCAACCATTTCTAATTATGGTGTAGCCTCCAACACATATGTAAATACTCTCTTTGTAGTTCTAACTCTAACTCACTGACGACCAGGTCGCAACGACCTGGCCGTCGGCTGGCCGGATGTATTACGTTTATAGCTGCGGCCAGATGAACGACCAGTTTCAACAGAGTTGTCAGATCTAACAATTTTTTACGTTTTACCAATTAGAAAATATTGTATCAGAAAGAATTAAGTTTCAGAAATGTTAAAATATCCGAGTTAACTAAAAAGCGAAGTTGCTATTCATCAGCTTATTAAATGTTCTAATATTAAATAATGCATTTAAAATATTCTTGGATTTTTTGTTAATAAATACTGGTGTGGTAAATGGAGTAAGTAAAATCTCAAACCCCGACTATACGATAACGTCGTTATTTCCATGTTGTTCAAATCCGCGATGCCTACTATTTCATCAGTCGTTTCATAACAGAATATTCTACATCCTACGTCTATGTAATTTAATATGTGTAGAGTGAGACATGTAACTCGTGAGATTTTCAGCATTATATCAATAAAGGACTAAAACAGTATTGTTTCTAAAGGTGCGTCCAGACTTGGGCATTTTAGCCCGAATGAACCGAGAGCGCGTGAACAAGCAGAACAAATAGGCCCAACAAAAAGCATTGTGTACGCGCGACCGACAAAAAGAGACATATTCTGTTTCTTTTTTCTACTGATATGAACTTCTACTGATGGCTCTTATCGACTTTGGAAGTAAACATATTAGGGTCATCGTAAAAAAGGTCGTCAGACACTGGCTCTAAATATAAGCATGTAGAAAGTTTAGCTTCCAGTTATTTCAATGTTTACAATTTAAATTCCTCTTTTTTATTGTTACTGAGAATCTACAACAATAAATACTTCTATTTTTATGAATGTTTAAGTTACTTTTATTCTTAATTTTTTTAAAAGTAATGTACCTAGTACCGTATGATCGAAAAAAAATGGCGTCCAGTTGGCTTGGAAATGACGATCGATGACATTTCCCATATAATTTTACATATATAATGACAGCGATTTTCATTTCAGAGCCATCGCTGACGCCGTTTTTATTCGATCATACGGTAGAAATATGGTCTAATGGACCCTGTCTGAAAAACGTTAAATTAAATATAATATTCAAAATACAGTTGTCCTCCTTGTACATGACTACAATACAAGTAAAAAAAATAATTTAATAAAAAAAAAGTGGTTGTAGAAAAACTTTAAATATGATTTTTTTTATTTTTTAACATCGAAACTCGAAGGTATAATAACAGGTATCATACCAACTATAAATATAGTATGTCATATAAAAATGTTTTGAATTTTTACTAGAATCGACCCTTGATAAAAAAAGGGACTAGATTTAAGTTTCCCTTTGATCCAGTCTGTATACTATTTCTTTGGATTTTCTGCACGTGTGCAAAAACTACACTAAAACACTATATCTTATAGAAAATAAAATATTGTGCGTTGAATTTGAGGAATTTCATCTGAAAAATTATTAATTTGGAAGAAAACCGGCAACAAGCGGCAGAAAATATTAATATTTTAGTGCAGTCTACTGGTCGCAACGACCAACGGACGGCCAGGACGTTAGTGTGCGCTATATCATTTGACTTAATGGTTTTACAGGTAGCAGCGGCCTGGCCGGTGCGACCTGGTCATCAGTGTGTTCGAGCCCTAAGTAAAATTAGAAATATTAATAAAAATGTATTTAGAACTTGATAAGTCCATTTTTTTTAATTATGTATCTACAATCTACAATAAATGTAATAAGCTGCTCCATTTGAAAATTCCAGAAAAATTATGATATACATATTTAGTATTATTGTCTCCTTTTGATCTAGTCGAAATAATTCTGATGAAATTAATTTAGAATACCGTTCTTTATTTTCGATGTCCGAATTTTCAATATCAATCAACATTTACAGCGCTTTCAGATAGAGCGGAGCGTCCGCAACTTCGAGCAAGTACCATGGGTTTATATCGTCTGCTAATTCCATTTTTTACGTTAATAATTTTAATTTCCGTTACGATCACGCTAAAGCAAACACACGGATTCTTATTCGTATGTTTCTTTAGTACAGTACGTCGATCCAGGGTCGCACTAGGCCAAAGGGGCCCGGGTGGCAATGTAAGGAGGGGCCGGTGTCGATTTTTTTGCGTATTTTTTCGCCTTACGTTTTGGTCAATTTTTCCCTATTATATACAGGGTAAATCTTAAATAAGTGCAAATATTTTTAGGGGTAGTATATTTCGACCCAAGAAACACTATTATGGTTTTTTTGTGTGAATTTTTTTTTAATTTTTAGTTTAAAAACATACTTTGTTTGTAAAATGGCAACATAGGTAGTAGATTAAATTTACAAGAAAGAAAATCCAATGATTCTCAAAATTATAGCAAAAAATTGGAAATTTTAAAAGTGAAATAATTCTTGTTATGGATTTATTTGAAAAACCGGTAAAGAGAAAATATTATGTTTCTTTATCGAGATTTACCAGCTTTGAAAATATTTGCACTTATTTAAGACTCACCCTGTATAGAAATCAGGGAACTACCCTAATGCAAGGTAAAACAATGCAGTGCAAATGGCATAATGCAATGCAAAAGCTAATATTGTTAAGAATAAATAATGAACTAAAAAGGGGGCCCGCGAAGGCTGGGGCCCCCCTAATAGTTATATACAATATAATATGGCCAGTCCGACCCTGCGTCGATCCGTTCTGTAAATACAGGGTATCCGGTAAAGGGTAAAAGGAAAAACAAAATTCTCTATAATATCTGACAAACGAATCTAAAACAGCGGAAGGAATTCGGGCAAAAAAAGTCGATGTTGTCACGTTTAATTATAGAAAAGCAAAGTTGCTCGATATTACCTATAAATTGAATATATTTTAGTTCGTTTCAGCATACATAATTATATATATGCTAATATGTTGACGTAGTTCTTATTGTAATAATGTATATTTATCTAATTAAGAGTTTTCATTCATTCTGCCTATTATAAAAGGTAAAGTATTTTCTAAAGATAGTGTCCGCTTAGGGTAAGCTGGCAACGCTGACAAAATTCATCATGGCATCCCGGATTCAACCAGTCTGATTGGTCGAGATTCTCGCACGTCTTGCCGCCGTTACCCCCAACTTTATGCCCCTCTCTAGGAATAGTAGAAACAGTCACTACTATTGAAAAATCCAGTGGCGGGGTTATTGTATTGTGTTTTATATCTTTAACTTGATTTGTGTTTATTGTAATTAGTACACGCGTTTTAACAAATATTACTATATTTGGCAAATGATTAAACAAAATGTAGGTACATTTAAAGTAAAATAATATTATAAACTTTACTGGAAAATATTATAAAAATTCCTGATATATTTTTATGAAACACCGCACGCTCGTGGATATTTTATGAATGAAATCGGTCATGATTTTAGAAAATCGCGATCCCCTCACCGTTGCCCCGTTGTTTCAGATCCGTTTGTCAGACTGTATGTATAAGAGCAATTCATCGGCGTGCTGTAAATAGTTTAAATAACATTACTTAGTTGTACAAGAATTTGCATAATACCTAATAAGTTTTTTTTTAACGTTTTTCCACGTAAATGGTACATCATTTTTATAAAATTTAAAAAAAAGGAGAAAAGTAATAAAAATTTAATTTAATATCACGCACTGGTTTTTCAAGCTCGGTCTACTACCGTTGTTAAAAATTAGGATAAGCATGGAAGGATTCTACCATATCTTCTAAGAATTATAAGTTTAATTTTTAAATTATTTTCATATTCATTAAGTCCAAAATGCGGCTACTTCAGTTCTTTAAAAATGCATTAAAATTTTATTCGTTTTTGTACTTGTATATTTTGCTTCTAGACCGACGCCACGATATTCTAAATATATGGTTATGAATACCATATTTTTTAAATTTAATTCATTATTTCTAAATCTGTTTGGGTAATATTCAATTCCATTTTCAAAATTTCAAACAATAAAGGTTGCTATCTCCAGAAGTAAATTCTTATTTCTTATTTCTGCAAGACGAATATCTGCTATCTCCCTATTGTGTCTGAAAAAAATGATGTAACACGAAATATTGAGTTTTATTGTTCCCCAGCAAATAAAATTCTTATCTCTTTATTACGCATGAAAATACTTGCTACATGTGTACATATTTTTTGTACCGTTTTTTGGCTCTCCTGTAAAGTTAGAAATAATGGAGTTAGCAGTTTATCACATTTCACCGACGATATGAACAATTTCACATGGGCGCACACAAAACTCTACGGACGGTCCGCCGCATGTGAAAACGCTGTTAGGCAAATATTAATGTGTAATATTAATATTTGCCTATAATGTAATATTAGCGCTTCATGTGAAACAGTCTGAAACAGAATAAATAATCTACAAACGCTGAATAATAATAAAAAAGAACTTAAAAACATACGAATGTAAAGTATATCCAACTGGTATATTTATTTTAAAATATTTTTTTTGCTCCAACAAAAAAATCCATTATCAAATTTCAAATTCCAAATCGACATTTTTTTCAATACAATAAAATCAATAATATCAATTGTGAAAAACGATAAACAAAATTAACACTGAATGTGCAATTATTTTGGCAAAATTAACAAATTGAACCGTCAATGGGAATTATAATAAATTATAATAGAGAAAAATTTCCAAATTTTTGATTGTTGTGGTAAGAATGTTAGTGTTAAAAATAGTAGGTAAACAAAAATATATAAGGAATATATATTAGGTTGCTACTTAATATTAATTTTACTTCAAGTTACATATACATGTATTTCAGTAAGAATGGGGCATAAAGGTCACATGGTGTAGACGCAATTATAAATATTATTTTTTTAGTGTTTTTTGGGTACTTATATTTAAAAGACCCAAATGAGCTAAATTAAATTGTTAATATATTGAACTGTTTTGTAGTTAAGATGGAGAGCTGTAAGAGTGTACGAGAATATTACAAAGGTTAGTTTAAAGTGTTTTTAATGATATTTCAATTAATTTTTAATCATTTAATCTAACATGATTTTAACATATTGCTTTATAATACAAAGTGTTTCAAAAAACATGTGCCATCTCTCGTGGGGAGATTCCTCACGTAAAAATAAGATTAATTTTTCATGTCAACATAGGTCCAATTCTGCTTGGTTTCGTAGCTACGGGGTGTTAAAATTTTAATATTTCTTCGATTTATTATAATTTTCTTAAAAGTACTTTTAGCGTTGCGCGGGAAATTTTAAGGCTAAAAGTTAGTATAAATACGACATATTTTACAGCTAAAAAAGTATCGACATATTCACCAGGGACGTGCGTATGGGTTATCACTGGAATATTTTTCTAAAAAAGTCATGTACGCCAATGACTTTTTTCTCTTGTTAGCCAAATAGTGTTAAGCAGTTTAATGCCGATTAAAAGTTGTCTCTTGATATTTTGTCGATTTCGGTCAATTTTATTAATTTGCCTTTTAAAAACTTTAATATCATTAACTTGCGAAAGTTTTAAATAAGTACTCATTGATTCCTCATCAAAAAATTTGAAAAAAATAATATAACTAATAGCAATAATATTTAATAATAAATTAGGTAAAATATATAACTTATTAATTTCAATATTTATTTCAATTTCATTAATTGTGATTAATAAAACTGCGTTTATCTCATCAAGGAGGCAGAATTCGACAAAATATCAAGAGATAACTTTTAATTGGCATTAAACGGCCTACACAATTTTGGTATCAAAAGGAAAACGTCAGTGGCGCACATGTTCCAGTGATAACCCATATGCACGACCCTGATGAATTTATCGACACTTTTTTAGCATTAAAATATGTAGCACTTATAGTAACTTTTACCCTCAAAATTTCATTCGAAACGCTAAAAATACTTGGAAGAAAATTATAATAAATCGAAAAAATATTAAGACTTTAACACCCTGTAGCTAACAAACAAAGCAGAATCGGGCCTATGTCCATATGAAAAATAAATTTTATTTTTACGTGAGGAATCTCCCAACGAGAGATGGCACATGTTTTTTGAAACACACCCTGTATAATTAACCATTTGTTCGTATTATATTATTTCGTTGGTCTAGTGACCCCTAAATAGTTAAAGTTTTTTGCTGGATCTGGGTAAAATAAAGCTCAGATTTATTGTTTAGTAACTAGTCCATATGTTTCGGGAAATATATTATCTTCCTCAGGGTAAATTAGTATTAAATCTTGGTTTCTAATAAGTGTTCTGAAAAAGAAAGTAAATTTGTTTTTAGGCAAAACTATCTTCATAACGGGTGCTACAGGATTCTTTGGGAAAGCTCTCATCGAAAAATTGTTGCGCAGTTGCCCAGATATTCGTCATATTTATGGGTTAGTAAGAACAAAAAAAGGAAAAACTTTGAATGAAAGAATCGAGCACCTGTTTTCTAATCCGGTAAGCGGTATTTTATTAAGTCTAAATATTCAGTGGCTAAAATATACCAAAATATATACAGGATGAGCTTTAAATAAGTGCAAATATTTTCAAGGTTGCTTAGATCTGGATAAAATAATCTCGAACTAATCTAACTAATTTCCTCTTTATCGTTTTTCAAATAAGTCCAAAATTAGCAAGTTATTTTACTTTGAAAATTAAAAAAATATATTTTTGCGCTTAAATTTTGAGAACCATTGGATTTTATCTGGGTTTTCTTTCTTGTAAATTTAATCTACTACCTCATGGTGCCATATTATCAAGAAAATATCGTTGATTGAAAAAATTGGGAAGATACGCAACTTAATGAGCGAATTCATAACAAGGCTGATTTGATTTTCTCTTATATCTCAAGTGCTGTACGGTGGAGCCTCTGCTCATTTTGCGGCCAATGCATAAAATACTCATTTTCGCTGATTCGGCTAGCGCTAGCATATCAAAGACGTTGTAGAACGACAGTGTTGCCATATTAAAATGTGTAATATCTGTAATACGTTTTGACGATTACGTTGGACGAAAAATTTGCGTTTATGTATTGAAGATTTATTTGTGTTAAATACAGAATAAACAACAAAAACAAAAAAAAAATATTTTTTAGGTACTGAATATCTCGTATGATCGTTTGGTTGGCTTCGAAATGACGACTATTGACATTTACCATAATATTTTTACATAATATGATATAAGAGCAGCATCTTCATTTTCAAGCCAACTCTGACGCCGGTCTTTGTTTAATTATATAATATTATATTAAATTGGTTAATGTTAGAAAAAAAATGTCTCAATAATCAAATTGGCGAATGATATAAAATCCGTTTATTAACGTGCGCTATATATGATAACCAAAATCTGTATACCTATAGATTAATCCATAGTTCTGGCAACACTGTCTCCGACAGTCACCCACTCTGTCGACTGAGAGCAGAACTACGACACAGAACTCTTTATCCGCTGCGCTGTCAACGACTATCAGCGCGCACCTGCGCAGAGCTAAACTAAATCTCGGACATATATCGGTAACGCCAGCTATATCTCGGACATAATTTGTGCCACGAAATCCCCCAGAAGGTTGCGCATATTCTTATTTCTCCAATCAACGATAATATGCTTTTTAACTTAAAATTTTAAAATTTGTATTTTTTTCGGAAAATGCCAAATTTTAAAAAAAAATATTTCGCTAAAAAATCTCATAGACGTGTTTACTGGAGTCGAAATATAGCACCCCTAAAAATATTTGCACTTATTTAAGACTTTAGTTCTAGTTTAAGTCCTAGATTTAAATACAGTTTCGTTTTTGTAACATTCTCTAAACATAGCTTTTATTTAATTGTTCTAGATATTTGATTTGTTGAGAGATACCAAACCTGAGTCATTTAGTAAAGTCACATTTATTAACGGCGATGTCTGTGAAGAAAATTTAGGTAATTTGAATATTCTTTAATAATCTATACAAATTTACGAGGTATCAGTATATTATTTCGTCAAAAAAGATTTCTGGGCATTTCGCCATTTGCACTGTAAGCAGTGGAGGGTGCACGTGGGAGCTTCGGGCGCTTAGCTCCCCTTAGGTTCAGTCATGTAATACGATATAATTAATTTATTATGTCAGAAACGACTCCGGAGTATGTATTTTGAGAAAAATTTTATGTCTAGCGAAAAACATCCTTTTTTAAAATAATCTTTATATTCTTTAATTTGCACATTAATTAAATGGTCTAGATAAAAATAAAATAAAAACGAAAAAAAATGTTAAATATTTTTTGTCCGTTTGACAATTTTTCTTTTATTAGCAAAATACCGATTGCAAGAAGACATTTTTGGAGAAATGAATCGGCCATTATTAGTTATTATATTTTTTAACTATATTTTATATTTATTAACTATTATAGGTTTGTCCAATAGTGATATGAAAATGTTAATCGAAAATGTAAACATCATATTTCATACTGCTGCCTCTGTTAGATTTGATGATTTTTTGGGAGATGCAATACAAATAAATTTAAGAAGTTCGCGAGATTTGGCACTGATGGCACTAAAAATGGAAAAATTGGAGGTTTTTGTTCATGTATCTACAGCTTATGCTAGTGTAACTAAAAGAAAAGTAAGTGTATACCTTTAGTCACAAATTATCTAAAAACAGAGACATGTATTAAGCTCGTAAAAACTGTGGATTATATTGTGCTAAACACTGAATAGCCGATATGTATCTATTGGTGCGTTTAGACTTGAACACGCACTGATCCTTCGCGAATGCTCATGTGTAAACGGCTGTGCGCACGCTCACTCTGAATCTGTCTGTGCGCGAGCAGCCGCAAACGTGAGCCGTCTAGTGTCTGTTTTTGGTGAGTGCACAAAGGGACTTTATGTATGCGCAAACGCTCAGTTTGCACCGGCAATTTGTTTTGTCTGCGTACGTGCGTTCCTTCACCAACACAACTCTGCTGTTCGCGCATAAATGGATCACTTCATTCGTCGAAGAATAAGTTTTTAATTTAAACGGAGTCGAGAACGCGAACGAATGCCGTTCGCGTACGCTCAGCTCGTGCGTGCTCAAGCTAAACGCACCTTAATAATAAAATATGTTAAACTGTACTGCTAGTTAACTAAATTAGCTTACAATGCTACTAATACAAAATGTAAATATGTAAGTCAACTTATTTACTGAGATATACTTCTTGTAGATAATTCCAGAAGAGCTGCTTCCAGTTCATGATGACTGGAAAGAAATGATCTGCCTGGCTGAAAAAAGCGATACAAATATATTAAACTATTTGAGTCATAAAATTGTTGGGAAATATCCTAATACTTATACTTACACCAAACACTTGGCAGAGCATTGTATCAACGATTTGTTGGGAGCCAAAGTTCCTACAGTTATTGTGAAACCTACTGTAGGTATGTTCATTTATATCTTTACTAGCGTGTACCAGCGACTTCGTTCACGTCGAATTAATCATTTTGTAATGGTGACGCATGCAAAGCAAGAATTTCCATTAACATACAAACTGGATAAAATTTTCTCACATTTATGTCAGCATGAGAAAAAACAATATGGCGATATTATTATATAACTTGGTAATATTTGAGGGGTAGTTTCATCTCGTTGGAATTTGACTTTCAAAAAATCCGTTTGCCAAAAATAAGCTTTTTACGTCAAGCAGTTTAAGCAGAATCGTGGTTAAGAAATTACCCAACTTTTTGGAACACCCTGTATGATTTTCTAAAAAATTTTAAAATATGTTAAAAAACCAAATAAATTATGCTTGTCCAAGCGTTTTCCCGAAAGACTAACCGTTTTTTAAATAACAAATATTGTAACATTTGGGAGGCGTTTTCACCCTCTTGGAATTTGAGATTCGAGAAACCCCTTCTTATTGAACCTCTACACCCCACAGTCAATACGTTTGCCAAAAATAAGCTTTAAACGTCAAGCAGTTTAAGCAGAATCGTGATTAATCAATGGTCATATTTTATGAAACATCCTGTATAAATTTATAAAAAATCTTAAAATATGTAAAACGACAAAATAAAATATACGTGTTTAAGAGTTTTCCCGAGAAACTCACCGGTTTTTAAATAAAAAATATTTTAATATTTGAGGGATAGTTTCACCCCCTTACAATTCGAGTTTCGAAAAATCCCTTCTTATCGAACCTCTACACCCTGAAGTCAATCTGTTTTCCAAAAATCAGCTTTTTACGTCATGCGCTTTAAGCAGGATTGTGATTAATCAATGACCAGATTTTTTGAAACACCCTGTATACATTTTTAAAAAATCTTAAAATATGTAATAAAACAAAATAAAATATACGTGTTTAAGCGTTTTTTCGGAAACTTGACCGTTTTTTAAATAAAAAATATTGTAATATTTGAGGGGTGGTTTCACCCTCTTGGAACTGGAATTTCGAAAAATCCCTTCTTATCGAACTTCTACACCCTAGAATCAACCTGTATGCCAAAATTGAGCTTCTTACGTTGAGTGGTTTGAGCAGGATCGTGATTAATCAGTGAGTCAGTCACTTAAGGATTTTATATATTAGTATAGATTATACATTGTATGAGAAGGGGAAATTAATCACCGCGACCTTATAGATTTATTGTGTCCCCCTATTGTGTGTCCCACCTATTGTGTCCCCTTTTGATCAGTTATAACCCATCATACAGTCTCAGGACTTTGACAAAAGCCAGTATCTGAGACACAAAGGTTTGGTTATCTCCGTTATCAATCGTACTAAGGTTTATGGCACGAATGATTGTCGTCTTGACGCACTCAGTGATTAGGTGTTCTGGTCTTTCCCAATTTTTCCCACAGAATCTGCATTCGCAGTTGTTTCTCGGCTTCAGTCTACTGAGGTGTTCATTGAAGAGACAGTGTCCTGTTAAAAACCCTGTAACAATCCGAGGATTGTTCTTACTTAATTCGAGAAAAATCTTTGATTATTCTCGGTCGTAAGTCCTGAGAATATTTTTGGAGTGTCTTAGATCATTGAAGGATTCCAATTCCAGGTTATGCATGAAGTCTTCTAGGTTCTTGAGTTCCGGTTTAAGTTGGTTTCCACTTGGAAAGCAGAACAGTTCTGGTCTAGTTAGTGGAATGTTCACTAAATCGTTTGCTTTTTCATTACCTCCTATCCCTTTTAGCACCCAGAGTAGGAGAACTTTATTTTCTTTACCCAGTTTGTTCAGCTTCTCTAGGCATTCTTTAACCAGTTTCGAATTATTGATTGTTACTGAGTTGATAACTTTTAAGGCTGCTTGACTATCGGATTAGATGGCTCTTTCTTGTTTCCGATAGTTCATATCTATAGAGATTTCTGCCTGAAATGTTATGGGGTTAGGTCAAGAACGGTAAACTAATAGGATTGCTCATCCTCATAAGACGTACGTTCGCCTCTTCCCGCGCTTCAACTGACAGTTGTGACGTCATTGTAGTCCTTGTCATGATAGTGTGTATTTTTAGTTGCCTATGGTAAACTTATAAAAATAACAGCTGAGAAATTTTGAGTTAATTATTTTGTCAATTTTAAGTGTGAAAAAGGTGTTTTTAAAGTTTTTAGAGCTATAGAGTGTATAAATACATTCAATTCGTGTTGTGAATTGTGACAAAGTGCTTACTAAGTGCCTACGATATTGTTTATTAATTATTTTAGAGCAAAAAATGGAAGTACTCTAAAAAGAATGCTTGCAAAAGGTGATGCTGGAAACTGCTGTTCATAGAAATGCATTATTCGAGTATTTAATATGATTTATACGGTTAATTTTCTATACTGCATACATATAAAGTGTTTAAATAAATAAACTAAATAATGAACGTTTTGCATTCGGCAACCAATAATGCACGTGTATGTATTATTGGTTGCCGAATAAGGACTAATAACCATGACAAGGACTACAATGACGTCACAAAGCGAGTCGTTTTCGCCAGGGGGGTGACAGTGAAATAGGAAAATTGGAAACAGTCATTAGTGTCATTCCTGTCATTCTCCTCACGACAAGTATGGCCGCCTAGAAAAGGACAGAATTGTTTTTGTCTAACTATTGTCTAACTTCACAGTTTAGAATTGACAGATTTCAGTTTTAGAGACAACTTCAGATTTGTTCTAGAACAAATATTCGACGCCATTTTAATTCATTCCGTTTAGTTTCGTTTTGGAAGTTCAATTTAGTATTTCCGCTGAAATTTATAAATATAAAGGTAATAAAGTATATAAAATATATATTACATGAAGCATCCTGGAGAAAATAACGTTTCTGCAGTAGTAGGTATGTCCCATGTATATGAATAATAGGTAGTAAATAAACACTGTTTTTACATTTTTTAGATGCAAGAAAATGGTGTTATAATCTCTTTGATCGGCGATTTTTTTAAAAATGGAAACAATTTACAGCAAGGTAAGATCATTTTTAACTATAGCCAACATTAGTTATCTCCAGTATGTGCGATTTATTGTCAATAATGCAATAAATCGGACTGATAATCTGATTATATCTCTTTTTGCTTCATTTTAACTTATAAGCCAGGTCTCTTTGGAAATAATGGACGCTTTTTTTAAACAGCATATTTATATTTTATACCTATTGATATTTTTACATTGTTAATTTTAGTATAAAAAAATTGTTTTTCTGTTTTCAGGTTTTTGTATAAGGCTCCTGTTTTCATGTTCCTGTGTCCGTTTTCTGTCCTTGAAGTCTGCGAATACGTGCGTTTATTTACAAATTACTGTAAGTCATGCTTATACCTTAACTAATTTATGTTAAAAATGCATATAATTAACTAACTGGTATTGAAACAATACAATCCTCTATATTTTTATATTTATTTAGTCACGTTGTTCCATATTTCAAATAAATATATGCGAATAAATTATTTTTTGGTTTTATTTATGAAAAGAAAAAATACAAAATACATTTGAACTGAAAGAGGGCCCGCCATTGAATAACCGGAAACGGAAATGAAAATTAAGCCATCATGTCCTTATCATGTCAACCTGTCAATTGGAAAATTAGTTCTCCAGACGACAACGAAGGCTTTCGGTGGCGTATCGTGTTTCCACGATTTAACACAGACACAAAATAGAAATCAACCAGAACGCCGACTCTGCCGAATTTGATGACGTTTCACGAATCGCGACGCCATATTGGCAGCGGGTAAGGGTACGAACATAGTGGAGGCAGGTTTCTGCTTTCCGGCAACCAGCGCCGTCTCTGGGGACCTATTCTTGACCACTCGCATCTTCAAATATCGCTCGCATCTCGCATCTCCTAAAAAGCCATATAACAATACACAGATGCGTAACTTTGCGTATATGCATCACGTGTATTGTATATGGCTATTTCGGAGATGCGAGAAGGATTCGGAAGTAGATAATTAAGAGGAAATTTACCTGATTAACTAACCTAACCTAACCAAACCATATTCAAACGCCGCGCCCGCCTCGCCGGGGCCGCACATAGATGTATTGGTCTATAAACCTGGCCAAAAGTGATATTTTTTTATTTTCATTTTTTATCTTAACTGAATACAAATCTATAAATACTAAATGTAAGCACGTTTATTAGTTATTAGCTTTTTTAAGTCGTAAGTTGACTATCAAATAAATAATATATTTCAGTTAAAAGTATGAATTATCTTGAGTGTATTCTGAATATTTCTAAGATTATAAAAATAGTGGAATTGTTTGTAGTGCTTTTTTTGCAAATTGTTCATAATAACTGTCATGATGGATACAGAGCCAGCTTTGTTTGTTGGCTCTGTTCTGTTTTATGCCATATTTTTATTTTGAAACGTTTCCTTCTATTCTATTTTTTTATAATGTTTTATATTTAAAAAATCAGTGGCATTTTTATAAGGTGTAAGACTATTCGGCAATATTCCGCATGGAAATTAGTATCCGTTCAATGCTTAAAGTCTCCAGCATTGGAATATGCACAAAAATCTTGCCAATATTTGCCACTGCCAAAAAAAACATTGATTTAAATAGATTCTTAAAGGAAATAGTCTTTACCCTATTAACACCCATCCTCGCTCAAATATCGTCTATAATATACAAATTACTTTCTTGTTCTAGCATCCTCATCCAATTGCTTGGTTTTGCACAGAATGGCCCTATTTGATCGGTGGAAAGGGTTTCAGAGTAGAGGAAAAAATATTGTGTAGGAAAAACAAAATGGGGTTCCATATTAGCAACCTCTCCTCTAATTAATAATTAATATTACTAGCAAAAAAGCAAAAAAATCATAAAACATAATTTTGGCCAACTTTTAGTTCTTAATACCCCCTGTGCGCCGTCGGCGCGTGCAAAAGCAGAAATAAATAAATTTTCGTTCCGGTAAAAGCGAGAACGCCGATGAACGCTGGTTGACGGTGCCTGCCTGCTTTCACTGTGAACTAGCCGATTTGATAACACGCTTTAATTTTTCAAGGTTATAAGCGCGAGGCGGCGCGGCGCGGCGCTACTATGTAACCATATACAGGGTGTCCCAGAAATAAGTGCAAGTATTTTAACTTAACTGGTAGTATAGTTCAACCCCAGAAACACGCCTATGAGGTTTTTTTCTAAATATTTTTTTTTGAAAATTCGGAATTTTTTGAAAATATTTTTGGAATTTTTTTGCAATTTTTTTTAGTTTTTATTTAAAAAAATAATTTCTTGATAATATGGCAACATAGGTAGTAGATTAAATTTATAAGAAAGAAAATCCAGAAAAGATCCAGTGGTTCTCAAACAAATCTCGAAGTATTGGAAAGAATATGTAAGGACCAAGAACTATTGACTACAATAAAACGACGAAAAGCAGCATATTTTGGTCATATTTTTCGAAATAACAAATATAGTTTCCTACAGCTGATCGTTGAGGGAAAGATTGAAGGACGACGAGGCATCGGGCGTAAACGGTTTTCCTGCATGCGGAATTTGCGCCAGTGCCATGGTTTAATATAGGAGAGGCAAGTGCAATTATCCGTTTGGCTCAAGACAGGGAGGAATTCCAATTGATGGTCGCCAACCTCCGATGAGGAGAAGGCACATGAAGAAGGTTCTCAAAATTTGAGCAAAAAATCATTTTTTTTGGAAATTTTCAAAGTAAAATAACTCCGTTATTTTGGACTTATTTGAAAAACGATAAAGAGAAAATGTGTTTCTTTTATCGAGATCTACCACCCTTTAAAATACTTGCACTTATTTCTGGGATACCCTGTTTATAACAATACACGTGATGCGTATACGCAAAGTTGCGAACGATGTCAAGAATAGGTGCCCAGATTGGCGCTGACTACCAGTAAGCGGCAAACCTGCTTGCACTGTGTTCGCACACTAACTCTCAGGGCCGGATTAAAACGCTTTCGCAGGCTGTTGTCAGGGTTATATTGAATAAGTATTTTTATTATCTGATAGGTATGTGATTACAGACTGAGCGTAATACGTTATTTCGAAAGGTAAAGTTTGTATTGTATAGATACCACCACATGTAATTTTTATGCAGCGGTTTTTTTTTGCAATTAGTAGGTAGGCAGATAATATATGCGTAGTCAAAAATTTGGAAATGGGTAGAGATCGTGAATTTTAAAAATAAACTAAACCAATTAATTAAAGGTCAACTTTCTACTCGAACCCTTGAGCTGCGTTTTACTGGTTGGCAAAAATCCGTGGTCATCCCTACACCTTTCTTAGAAGTTTTTATGGTCTGGGAAATTACGCGAATTGCGTTGCTATAGATACGTTCTAAAGTGTAACAGTTTACAATCCTAAATTTATTTGTTAGAGGCACGTTCTGCGTTTTGAGTACACATTATCAAAATAAAAATGTTTTTTTTAATGCTGGGAAAGTTTCTCTTGAACACAATGTTACCCAGATAAATCGGGCTCATTATAATAATAAAATTATGATTAGGTAGGTAGGTAATAAGTATTGTGTTAAGATGGGTTAATACAGTATTTAAAATAAAACTCTCTATGCATTTGTTTAATATCTATTTATTTCTCCTTATTAACAATTTATTTTTATTTGTTCCGCTTTTAAAATTCGTATTTATGTGATATATTCATATTATGCGATGGTCAGAATTCAACTAAACCCTGACCTGCCCTGATTAAACCGGTAACGCCGCTACATTGACAGGTGTTACCCGCTCGTAAAGGAATTTTTAGGTTAGCCATCGTTTCGCGCGCATTTTGGGTGTCAACCTTCTGGTTGATTTCTATTTTGTGACACAGAGTTGACACTTCTTTCTAGTTAATTATTTTATGGTTTTCGCATGCACCTGGCAGACATTTTTGGCTGAATGACCAGTCCTATTAGGTTAACTGTTCTTGGGGTTAGGTTAGGTTAGATGCCTGTTGATTCGGAGTATTTAAAAATGTCCATATTATGATTTGTAAATTTACTTATATTTTTTAGTGTTGTCTACACTTTTGTTAAAAAAATAAATGATCTCATTAGTTCCTCTAGACGGTCTACTATATTAATTCTCTCTGAATTAAAACTAACCGTTTTTTCGTCAACACACAAGGTTTTACTTGATACATTTTAACTGAATGGGCAAGACTGGCTGTAGGTAAAGCGTTATGTGTAGACGGGGCCTTAAAAGATCATATAGTTCATATCAAACAAACCTTTAGTCATGTGATTAGGCTTGACCGGCACAGCGTTGTCCACTTATACATATTTTCTTTTAATCAAAATATTTTAGGAAACAAAAATAAATTAATTATAATTATATAAACAGTTATTATTTACATCAACAAAACTCTCATTTTTAACAGCACTAAAGGGACATAAACGGTTATTACTACCGTTTTCCTGTTCAAAATATTCTAATAAAGTTACGATGAGTTTTTTTACGGTTATTAATATATCTTGTACACTTCGCACTAAAAGAGGTTTTAAAAAGAACAATGTTCGACTGCAAGGTCTGCTGGCAAACATTTTTAAGCTTAAAGTATAACAACACTATTTATTTAAACTAAAAACTCATAATATAAAACTGAAGTATTAAAACAAATGACAATGTCAGGAAATAAATAAACAAATGACTTGACATTTTTACAGCAGAACTGCCACCTGAAATCCCGGCGGGAAATTTAAATTCCACTTAGCACGGCGCCGAATATATCCATGGTTGGTGAAAATGAATTTAAAAATCGAGTCCTCGATTACGTAATTAAAAGTTTAATTGATATCAAATATAAATTGGTAGGCCGGTACTGAATAAGATATGCTCCTAAAATTCGATTGTTAATTGTTTAAATTAATAATTGTTTTTTTTTATATTTTTAGTGTCTAGTTCCATTACTGAACCCATGCGAGGCTGGACAGATAATTTTAATGGTCCAATAAGCATTGCCCTCGGATCTTGTTCTGGAGTGCTAAGGATATGCTTGGCTGATATGAACGCAGCTGTTGATTATGTGCCAGTAGATACAATAGTTAAAGCGTTAATACTATCTGCTTGGAAAACTGCACAAACGTAAGTATGACATTTCCACTAAGTAATCTATCGAGTGAAAGCAGAACTATGGTACAGTATTCTTTATCCGCTGCGCTGTAAACAACTATCAGAGCGCAGCGACGCAGAGCTAAACTAAATCTCGGACAGGTTGCGCAGTAAGTGTGTCACAGCAAGACTATGACCAAGACCAAGACTACTTATTAGGCTGCATGAGTAACACCAAGACCAAGAAGGTTTTGGTCATGGTCTTGGTGCATTTGCTCAATACTAATTTGTACCAATTTCTAGGCCATTGACAGCTACTGAAGTGATACAACCGAGCGCCTTCGGTTTCAAGAAATATTCTATGAAATTAATTGTGGATATTGGCAGCCAAGTATGGTACAAATATCCCCTAGACGTGCAAATTTGGTACCCGAATGTTAAGTTTACACAAAGTTTGATTTATTACTATATTAATGCAGTTTTATTTCATCTTATACCAGCAGTATGTATCGATTTGCTTCTGAGACTATTTCGATGCAAACCAATGTGAGTATAATTATACAGGGTGTTTTCAAAAACATGTGCCATTTTTCGTGGGGAGATTCCTCCTTTTGTGATGAGATAAACCATTAAGATAAACGTAATTTTATTAGTTTTCCTTGATCCAAGTCTAAAGCAACCTTTAAAAAATTTAATATCATTAACTTGCGAAAGTTCCTATAAACATGGGTATGGAAATGCATAGTTTTAGTTACAGAATGTTAAAACTTTTTAAAATTAGGTTTCTTGTAATTATCTAGGTTGGACTAATAGTAATAATAACTAATAGTAATAATACTTAATAATAAATTAGGTAAAAATATAAGTTATTATTTTTATTTTTATGTGAATTTTATTAATTGTGATTAATAAAATTGCGTTTATCTCATCAAGGAGACTAAATTCAAAAAAATATCAAGACGTGACTTTTAATTGGCATTAACGAAACTACACAATTTTTATAACAAAAGAAAAAATTCAGTAGCGCACATGTTTTTTTTTGAAAAATATTCCAGTGATAATCCATATGCAAGTCCTACATAACGTCTTAAAATACTTTCTCGAAAACGTTGCTAGGTCTTAGGCTATTATGATTCTAATCAACCGAAATTCTAAACCATAAAAATATTCGTTTCAGTTTATTCAAACTTCATAGAAAAATATGCGCGGCAAACTTGGCTATAAGCTATTTTCTTGAGAACGAATGGGACTTTTTGAATAGCAAAGCTCTAAGCTTAGTTGATGGTTTGGATGGGTCAGAAAAGGAAGATTTCAAATATGTATTTATAACTGATAATGAAGTTGAATATCTGAAATGGAATACCATATCCGCTAAATGGCTCCTATTGGGACAAAGTAAACATGTCAAACCATCTGCAGTTAAAATAAACAGAGGGTAAGTTAATTAAAATTAAAAATAATCTACAGACTTGTTCACCACATACGACACGGAGTATTGTAGCTAAACGGTTAGATGTTTGCAAATTGTAAGATTTGGGTTCGTTGAAGAACTATTAGAGCTAAAATTTAATTTTTTTACAAGGTACAGAGTGTCCCAAATAAATAAAAAATATCAAAGTTATATTTTTTTAAATGGAACACCCTGTATCCTTGTATATTACATTTTTAGTTTCTACGATTAAAATAAAGGTAAATTTGATTAAGGTTTACCGCATTTTAATCTTACCGTTTTTGAAATATTTAGGTTTTTGTCAAAATACAGTAATAATTTTAATACTTCATTTCTCTAGATGTATTTAAGTTTTTAAAACCAAATATTGTACCGAAGTATTTCTATTTACTTAATTTTGTGTTGCAATAATAAAAATTGTACTTTTTTATGTATTTTAAATAACTACCAGCTTTAAACGGCAATTAACGGCAATTCTTATAATTTAGACCTTATTTATATCCCATGGAATATTGACATTTTATATTATTTTTAAAGATCTAACAAATTTTTAAAGAGTACAGATACTAATATTTTCAATATGGTTCGTTTATTTCAGTAAAAAAATAAAAAGAAATTGTTTAAACATTTGTTAAAGAAGACCAATTAATATGATTCCAGTATTCAAACTACATTAATTGTCTGTTCGCGTTGATTAATAATAATTGCTCCAAATACTTAAAACTAAATTTTGTATGTGTATTAGACAGTGTGGTAAAAAGTAACACACAATTTTATTTCATTCTTTGACGAATGCTTATTTATAACAACGTTCATTTTCATAACTTATTATACAGGGTGTTCCAAAACAAATGCGAAAAATTTAAGGGGGTGATTCCTTGTTCAAAATAAAGGGTAGTTTGCTTCATAAACGTTGGGTCAAAAGTCAACCATTAGGGAGATATCGCGGTACAAAGATGGCGGAAAAATAATGTTTTTATTTTTTATCTTGAAAACGAAAAGAGATAGACTAATAAAATTTTATGGAAGCATTACTGTTATGAAAACACACTTTCTGGTAATTTTTTCACTTTTTTAAAAGGAGTGGAAGGGGTTGAAATAAACTACCCCTATCATTCTTGTTAACAAAATTTAAAGAAAAACCTTATCAAACACATGCAAAAAAATTAATTTGGATAGTTTAGTTTATTTAGAAACTTTTTTATCTCTTGTATTTTTTTGACCATTTTCAAACCAAACCAATTTGAAATTAAAAAATAAAATGTAAAGCATTACATGCCAGGACAAAAAACATTTTCTGATATAGAATCTAGAGGGCTGCTGTAATTTTTTTAGGAAAAAATCTAGTCGGCCGCTGTTACTTTTTAGGATGTTCCTAATATTATTTTATTTGACATTACTCTACTGCAATACGTTATTATCTAGATGATTATTATTATCGTTATTATCACTAGATTCTTAATCTAAAAATGTTTTTTGTCCTGACATGTAATGCCAAACCAAACCAAACCAAATTAATTTTTTTGCATGTGTTTGATAAGATTTTTCTTTAAATTTTGTTAACAAGAATCATAGGGGTAGTTTATTTCAACCCCTTCCACTCATTTTAAAAAGTGAAAAAAATTACCAGAAAGTGTGTTTTCATAACAATGCTTCCATAAAATTTCATTAGTCTATCTCTTTTCGTTTTCAAGATAAAAAATAAAAACATTATTTTTCCGCCATCTTTATACCGCGATATCTCCCTAATGGTTGACTTTTGACCCAACGTTTATAAAGCAAACTACCCTTTATTTTGAACAAGGAATCACCCCCTAAAGTTTTTCGCATTTGTTTTGAAACACCCTGTATATTGATTTCTGATTCAAATCCACATTTATTTAACACAATTAAGTATGTAATTAAATAATATTTGGACGGGAATAATAGTAGTATATTATTTAATTAATGGTATACTCTTTTATAACAACTTAAATAGTTTTCTTTTTGAAATCGTTTTTAGCACCTGTACATTTTGTTCATTAGTTGCTTTAAAAACTATCTAATATGTCAATATTCCATGGGTATATTTATTCTTTATGGATCTAAATTATAAAAAAATGCATTTTCTACGAAAACATGAAGGGATATCTAAAAAATGGTATAATACAATTAGACAATTAGATAAACAATTAAATTGTGCATCTGGTTCTCTTAAAATATACAAGCTTTTTCAAGATATATTATTCTAACTATTCAAGATCTATACCTATTATTATTTGATAATTATAATCCTTGTTACAGATTCTATTATTTAGACAAAATTTGTAAAGGAATCTTTTATATATGGTTAATTTGGCTTGTTTTCTTCAAATACCACATACAAACAACTTTTTTCGAAGCCACTTCAAACTACTGGAACAGATTAGGACAGCAATAATAACAAATCAACAAGAATCACATTCTGTATTGTTAAAATAATAGAAATAAAAGTAATGCTTTTATTTTTTTTTTCTTTATATACTCTATATCAGCCACTATAGGCCAGTGCAAATAATTTTGAATTTGCAAAAATTTTTAGAAAGCTGCGACCATTGAAAGTAGTTAGCCTTAGTAACCCTTATTAACATACTAAAAGTCCCCATTTGTCCGATGTGTGCGTCATCAAAAAAAATCGGCCGCCATCTTGAATGTTGGTACTTTTTGGGAAAAAATGTAAATAACTCGAAAACGGTGCGTTATAGCGAAAAACTTCAAGAGGTAAAAATTAAAGACAATAAAAAACTCTATCAGAATCAATAAAGAATAGTTTATTATCCTAACGCAGTGACGTACAATTTTTTTTTGAAAATTGAGCAATTTTTAAAAGGAATCACCGAAATGCAAATTACTATTTTTTTAAGCTTATTAACAAATAACATGGACATTTAGCATCAATTCAACTAAAATACAGTCCTTATGACATTTTCAAGAAATATTTATTGGTGGTTTAATAATATTTCAAAATTAACAAAAATTGTCAAAGCTATCCTTTACTAAATACATGTGTACTAATAATGTGCGAAAGCAGCCTCCACCTTGTTCCGGTCGGAGCTATTTGCACTTGAACCCAGGGTTGCCAGACGTCCCGATTTAGGCGGGACTGTCCCGATTTTAATCGATGTGTCCCGATATGTCCCGCGGCCCGAGACTGTCCCGATTTGTCCCGCATCTCGTTCTCTGCTTTCAAATTCCCAAAATCTTCCTTCGCCACTATAGTAGGAGACAGGCGACAATGGCATCATGCGTAAACTCTGTTATCGCCTCGTGTCCGCCTCACCGTTTCAAGTATCGACGGTTTAAATACATGACATATCGATGCATCAATGCCATTCCTACTGATTCTTCTTTCTCTCTTCTTTTTCTTTCACGGGATTTAGTCGCTTGTCGCTTACGTTTTGTCGCAAGGTCTTTTGTCTTTTAATTTTAAAAGACCTTGTTGTAGTGTACTTCTGTTCTGTGGTGTACTTGTACTTTGGTGTTTGGTGTACTTCACAGAAGGTAGAAGGTGTACTTGCTCCTTGCTCCGTGTCCGTGGTCCGTGCAGTGAGTGCTTTACCCGAGATCAAACGCGTTATGTTGAGTTAATTTGCTGCATATTACGTACATTTTAATATTATATATAATTATATAATTATAGGTTAATTCTTTTTTTTTGCAACAAAATGGATTCAGATTCCTCAGTGTCCTCTGATGAGATTGACTGGCTAGGGGTAAATTGTGGTGTTTTTGAAGATGAAGATGATGTGGTCAATGTCGTCAATGACGGAAATTCCCGAGAATTTGACAACGGTGTTAACGATGTTAAAAAAATCAAGAACTTTTCCCGGGAAAATACAGCGGCGGCTGCGTGTTCCATTTTGCAAAAAAAATAAAAGAAAAAGAGAGGTAGGTATATTAAACTATCTTCATATACAGAATAATCCGCCAAAAGATACGAGGTTTGTTAAATTAGAAAAAAGTTGCGCATTTTTGTGCTCAATAAAGTTACGTTTACAGAGTTGCCAAAATTTCATTTGTTTCCAATATACAGGGAAATATGTACAAAATGTGTAACATTTATTTTATTAAAAAAAAATAACTCAAAAACTATTAATAATTATAGAATCATATGTTTTGTGCACAAATTTTATATTTTTTTCTTTTTCTACAAAATATGCTACTTGGAAAATTCACCAAATGTATAGCTGTTCAGATATCGATACCAACTTATTTTATTTTTTTTTAATACAGACTTTTTAAAATATATTTTACAGACGTCTGGTAACAAAATGGCCATCATCGGGGTTTTCTTGAGTACGGACCTGAGAATAATCGGTAATGGTGGTTATCGTCAGCATTTATTATAATTTCTTAGCAATCATGTTAACTTTATATTATCCCCTTTGTTGATAAAAAAAAACAACTACCTACCTATACTATCTTATTTTTAATAAAATATAAATAATGTTAATATGTTTATTATATTTTTCGTTTAGTGCTTGTGTATTTTCATTTTAAAGCATTTTTTATACCACAATCCCTCAATAAATTATTATTTAAGATATTAAAATAAACATTTTTGGGCGTGGCACCCAAACATTTTCACCTCCGGCGGTCATTCAGTGCGTCCCGCTTTTTCTTCTTCTAAATATGGCAACCCTGCTTGAACCAAGGTCCTTTGGTTACCACTTTGTAAACAACTTGTTTTTAAAAATACAGTGACAGTTTGAAAAATTTTATTAGGCTATAGGTTGGAAGAAAAAAATAAAATGTAATAAACTACTTGCGAATGTCTTTTTGACATAAATATCATCTACGATCTTAACTTAAGATCTTAACACTTTTTCATTATGATAAATACAACATTATTATTTTAACTTCAGAGCAAAAATCGATTATATTTACGCGATTAAGGGATGGGGTTCCCATAAGGGACATTGCAGATACATTAGGGATAAACAAAAAACAGTGTTGTTGGCTAAATCCAAAAAAAAATCCATATAATTCAAATATTCTTATAGACCAGGAGTTCCGTCTGGGACTACTAATTCTTGTACTGCATTTTATAAGGTATAAGTCCTATAATAATGATTTTCAGCTGCGTTAGTTGTTGGAGGTAAGGTAGCTAAATCAAAATTTTTACTATAAGTACCTGACGAGATGTAAGGGCTTTATATTTAAAATACCTCAACTGATCTAAATCTTTTGCTAGCCTATGTCGACCATATAATGAAAATAAGAATGTATTTCCAGCTTCGACTAGCTCAGATTTTTGTGCTGCAGGATCTAAAATAAACGGATGTAATTTGTCGCACATGAGGATCTTTTTGCAACGTTTTGAAAGTCGCCAGTTTACATTACATTTTATTTTTTTTTTCCAACCTGTAGCCTAATTTTTCAAACTGTCACTGTATTTTTAAAAACAAGTTGTTTACAAAATGGTAACAATAAGATCTTGGTTTAAGTGCAAATAGCCCCGACCTTGACAAGGTGGAGACTTGCTTTCGCACATTATTAATACACATGTATTTAATAAAATAAATAAATAAAAAAAATAAATTTTTGTTAATTTTGAAATATTAACCCACCAATAAAAAATATTTCTTGAAAATGTCACAAGGATTGTATTTCAGTTGAATTGATGGTAAATATCCATGTTATTTGTTAATAAGCTTAAATAATTAGTAATTTGCATTTCGGTGATTCCTTTTAAAAATTGCTCGATTTTCAAAATTTTTTTGTACATCATTGCGTTAGGATAATATTTTTTTTTATTGATTCTAATAGAGTTTTTTATTCACTTTAATTTTTACCTCTTGAAGTTTTTCGCTATAATAAACCGTTTTCGAGTTATTTACATTTTTTCCCAAAAAGTACCAAAATTCAAGATGGCGGCCGATTTTTTTTTGATGACGCACACATCGGACAAATTAAACTTTTAGTATGTTAATAAGGGTTACTAAGGCTAACTATTTTCAATGGTCGCAGCTTTCTAAAAATTTTTGCAATTTCAACATGGTGAATGTCATAACTGCACTGGGGTACTAATAATATACAGGGTGCTACAAATTCGAGGTACGAACATTGGTATCTCGGAACCGTAATAGATACGAACATGGTTAAATTGGGGCAAAGTTGCGCTTTGGGATGTTCACCAAGATGCTATCATAAAAGTTTTAAAAATTTCAAGGATTGCTGAGTTTTCTGGAAAAAAAACGGATTTTTTTGAAAATCATTTTTTGGAGAGATGAATATAACAATGAACATAGGTATAGACATTTTTTTCACACTATCAGCTCTGCGAAATAGGAAAAGTAGTTTTTCAAAGGAACGATTTTCGAGAAAATTCCTGTTTTGTTATCTTTGAGCATAAACCCTGCAGGTCAACAAGCAATTGTCCTCACAAAATAAAATCACTAGTACCATATTCATTCCTTCCACCAGCAGATACTGTTTAATTTTTGTTGATAAAATAATAAATACTTACTTATTAACCTTATTGTAGGTAAATTAAATAAAAATAACCCGTTATAAATTTAAATAAAGTCCGTATGCACCCATAAATGAGTGGTGTTAGTTTCAAACTTAAACGCAACTGTAAAGGATTTATGTATATACAGGGTGAGTTTCCTACGATGTTCTCTATGGGTATCTCGCAAACTACTGGAGATAGAGAGTCAGTTAAATGGGGAAAGAATTGCAGTTTTGTGGGGTCATAAATATGCGCTTTTCAGATTTTCGGAAAAGTTCGTGGCTTACTAGATATTTCGAAAAAAACAAATTTTGGCTATTTTAAAAATTGTCCCTAATTCCATTATAATCTATTTTAGACAAAAAGTGTTCAGATAAAAGTTGTAGATAATCACATTCCTAATGAGTTTGTGTTCTCCGATTTTTCATAAAACCTGTCATTTTTGACATATGACACAAACATATGTTTTTTTAAATGGAAACCTTAGTTGGCCATGACTTCATAAAAAGCGCCGTTTTTTAAGCTTTTCAACGATATAAGCTATACTATGTTTCTTTCACAAAATTACTGAGTTATAACCAATTCTTATCTTTCTTGACTAATTTCACTTAGTTAGCCATGGAAACAAGTTTAATCGTCGTTGCTCTCAGAAATGTGAAATTGTCACATCCAATCTTTGTAAATTAACATAAACAAAAATTGTAAATAAGAGTTTTCAAATGAAGAACAGCGTGTAGAATTATTGGTTCAACTTTTCTTGGCCATACAGTTTCGAGGATACGTTGACCGGTGAACGTTACGTTTTTTAGAAAACGGTTTTCAAGACATGTTAGAGAAGTTCATATTAGATACTCGCGCATTAATACAGTGGTTCCAACATGACTTTCATTTTGACGCACCAACACCCCCACAATGAAAGAAATGTTATTTAAAAAATTATTTATATCATAATTATGTAGACTCAGGGAGGTGGACCAATTGCATGGGTCTCCT